GGTTTAGGGTTTAGGGCTGTGCCTAAGGGTTTAGGGTTTTAGTGCTGTGCCTTAGTTCGTGGACGGGGGATCCTAAATAGAATCCGAAGAAGAGATCTAAATCTGTCAATACAAGGGGTCTTGGAGTCACTGGGTGCATCTGCGGCCTTGTGACTTTCTGGAGTGGCACTGAAAAGCTCGAGTTGAGAGGCCTCGAAGCGACTCGGGCGCTGGCGGAACAAGCCGAGGACGGCGGATGTTGGAGGGAAGCAAAGTGAGAGTGAGACTCTTCGACAGCATCTTGCAGAGGGCTCGGTAGTGCTGCTGTGTGTCTTCAGCCATCCTGTTATTGCGACATGCAGGATACTCAGAAGCGTCCGCGATCCTTCCTTTCCCGAATGGTCTACAAGGTGTGACTTCTGCTGCTGTCACGAGTTCAGCATAGCACTTGCGACCTCCAAGTCCATGTCAATGAGGCTCGCGTTTGGTTCACCGGTGCCCCGAAGCACGCTTACCAAGCCCTGGATGAGACCATCCAGTGAGCACCTGCAAAGTCGGTGCCGCGAGCCGCCTGACTCTCGTTTCCATAGCATTCCTCAGCGCCTGAAAGTCACATTCACAGAGAGGGGGGTTCTCCACGGGCCGTAGGTTTCCCAAAGCGCCAAACTGCTGGTCTCGTTCATTGGTCATCATGCAACCGCAGCATCAGGCAAGTTAATGGCTGCAGATGGCATACTTGTGCATAGTCCAGATTTTCAAGATTATTGGCGGCGAACCACTGGGTGTCAGCTCATCAGGAACATAACTGGTTAACAACCATGCAAACCCTCAGCCCCAAGCACATGAAGTTTCAGGCTACATCGGAGGCACTTCTAGCATTTGCTAGTGAACGCAAAAGCTCCAGCAGCTGGCTGCGACTGGCATGATAGTGTAGATTTGTTTGGCGCTTCTGGTGTTGTGGGCTCAGCAACGGAAACATGTCCTAGATTCCCCTGCGCAAACCCGCGACGTTGAAGATTTCTGCATGTGAGGTGCATGCATGGCGTGCATCCTGGCAGAGTTCGATTGTGGGCACAAAGGCCTGTGTCTGTGCCGGATGACTTGGAAGCCTGCAACTTTCTGTAGTGTCCTACTAAGCCGATGCCATGATGATATCTGAATTCTGCATGGCTTTTTCAAGTGCTCCCTTGCCAAAGGTGCAGTGCTGGACACCCAGTTGGATGACCTGTGCCTGAGATTAGCCACCGCGTGCGGCTCTCATGAGCTAGGTCGAAGTTGAGTTTGCTATGTACCTGATTCTGTTCATCTGCACGAATACTGATGAGGTCATCAGATGGTTTGGTGAAGCTTTGGAAGGTAGACAAGCCGGAGGAGTGCTTTCTTCGCCCTGCCTGCTGCACGGGGTGTCCTCAGACATTTCTGTGACTTCGGAATCCTGTAGACTGTAGATGAGGTGCCTGCAAGGCAACATTCTTGATTAGGCCAGGACCCAAACCCCAAAGCCCCATCGGCAGCAACGGCCTTATAGCCGAATCAACGAGGAGCCCACTTTCATTTGTGACCTGGCCGCCCACTCTGGAGCCGTCCATCAGGTGCCCGTTGAGTCAGCTCCGCTCTGGAAGTTGGGTGCCGTGCTGCACAGGTCTCCTGGGCTCCTGCTGGAACGGGTGCAGGTTCACTGCTTGTGTCAGTTGGCGCCGATGGACATGTGCCCTGGATTCACCAGTGATGAGTTCTGTCTTACACTTTCTGTGCTGTCTTGTTTCGTTGGTTGGATGTTAGTGTGAAAGCCGGCAGAGGTGTTCCTTTGGGGGCCCTGCCACGACATGCAGAGGTGGCAGGTGGTACCGAGCTCAGTGCACAAAAGAGTTCAGCTGAAGCATGAAGGAGACAACGGGCCCGTTCTTGCCCAGGTTCATGAGGAGGACCTTAGCAGACATGGTGAGGTCACAGCGCAGTGCTCAGTTCGAAGCAGACTGAACAAATCTCTGACACATTTTAAATCGAGGCGGTGTCTTGGGCCCCACCCACAATGGGTACAGCGGCATGGGTCTTACGGCCGCAAGTGGCAAGGGAGCACGAGGTGAGCTCGAAAATCCGAGGCCTATGCTTGTGCCCTGTCCGATGGCACCATCTCCGTGACCATCCACCAGGGAACTCTCCGATCAGGCCTTCGGGCACTCCGAAGCAGCGCTTCTGTTCATGTCACGTCTCCAGGCGAAGGTAAGGAAGCCGATCTTACAGGTGATACAGGTGTTCTGCATCCCTGCGGATCGGCGTTGGTTACCAGCAAGCATCGGAATCAGCAGCACGTTGATTGCAGCAGCAGCAGCAGCAGCAGCAGCAGTCCTGTGGTTGTTTTGTTCTTGCGGTGTGACTCTTGCGCAGCAGTTAAAATCCGACGTTCTTACACCCTTACAGTATGTATCTAATTTCGGGTAATCGAGCTTTCTTAAACAGGGGCGGATCTTTTTTCGGTTCTTTTGAAGGCTCGAGGAACGTATATTTTTGGATTCGCTGGCAAAATTACACTCGCTCATGCGATTATATGTGTCCTGCCAGAAAAATCATCCCGAACGGCTGTATACATCATCTGGCCCGAAGCACTTGCCTGAACACGAGCTGTACATGCAGGTGATACAGGCGTCCAACACCGATGGCAGTCTGAGAACTTTGCGGTCCATAAGGGCAAGGCCAGACATCTGACTTGGGGAGCGAATATACCAACACGTCGTCGCATCTACCTATTGTTTCGAAACTGTCAAACCATGCATGAGATCAAGAGGATGTCATGTTGTGACAGCAAGCACGATTTATCTTCAACATGCGCGGATCGGTCTCTTGATTCTTTGCAGCCGCACGTCCCATGCCTGCAGGCAAATGCCGTGTCTTGGTCTTCAGCCGCCGAATCCCCGGATGATTGGAAGCAGTAGGTCCAAAAAATGCCGGGCCGACTCCCCAGGTGGATCCTCACAAGAAAGGCGAGGTGGTGGGAGCCTGTCGGGCGCCACAGCTTAAGGTTTCAAGGCAAGTCTTCCCCTGCCCCAAGACCGAGGTCTCGCCACCGCAGGTGAGGATGGTGCGCCCTCGCCCGTTCTTGGCACGTTGCGACGTCCTTGGGCCCCTCTGGCGCAGGCGTGCGAGTGTGGCACATCCTCGAGGCCCAGAGCTCAGAGCCAAGGCGCGTGCAACGCCGGATTCGGCCAATGCCAAGGTGCACGGCCGATTCCGGGAAGAGGAGCTGCCGCGACCTGGGCCGGAGGACCTTCCCGACACGAGTGCTGGGCAGCCTGAAGGGCCTAGTTCCAGCCACACGTACCCGCCCTTGGGGCCCGAAGACCGTCGCGTTGGAGCCGGTAGTGTTCATCTTCTGCGTGACTTCCAAGGATTACCTCACTTGCACTTAATCCTGATTCCTCGTTGATCTGAGCACCGGAACCGCGTCGCTTGATGTTACTGTGCAAGGGTCGCACTGGGCCGCGGCGACCTCTGCGTTGTTGCTGCGTGTTGTGGGAGTACAATAGTCTTAGCTGTGGCAGTTAAGTGCATCTTGTCGTTGTATGTCGCATCCCAAGCAACTTCAAGACATTTGCCGATTTGCCAGCTTTATGCCTCTGTCGAGTTCTACGGGTTTCAGTGGGCACCAAAATCCTCAACCCCTGAAATCCCCAGATCCCAAACCTCAAGCCCTAAACAACAAACCTGAGGCCGGAAATGTCCCACCAGCTGGCACGTCCGACTGTCCTGAGGAGCCTATCCGCGACGTCGCCTGGAAGCCCTGGGATGGACTTGGCGACGTGCTGGCGCACGGGCCTCGAGAACGGGTTCGGTGTTTGCGAACCACTAAAGAGCCTCTGAAGTGGGATCCCCTACAAGACAGGTTCTCCAAAGCAGCCCATCTTAGTTGGCCCTGCGACTTTCAGCACGTGCGTGTTGAATCGCGGCTGCAGGTTCGCTCAGGGCAAGCACGTGGGCTTTCTGCGCCGCCCTGCCCCCAGAAAAGGTTTCCTTCCGGGCTGGGTGCTGTTGGAAGCACACTGTTCTCCTACATACTTACTCTTGTGCAAATGTGAAACACACCGTTCCCTGAGCCTTACTTACCCTTGCGTCAAGGAACGTTGCTTGGACTTGTAGTCCGACTATACAGTAAGAAAGTCTGTACGACTACAGGTGTGTCCGGGCTGAGTCACAGGAGAAAGTTTGGGGCTTGGAGCTGCGGTACTTGCGGTACTGTTCGGTTCGCATCCAGCCGTTTGGAGCGACTACCAGCAAACATGACACACCACAAACATGTTTGGCCCTTTCTCTAAGTTGTATGTGGAGCCTCTTGGCTGTGATCCCCACAAGACTGATGAGCTACGTAGAGCTCGTTAGTCTAGGACCTACTCCATGACCCCCCCCCCCCTTACCAGACCGCCAAGGCTCAAGAGCCCTAAACCCCTAAACCCCTAATCCCCAAGCCTCAACCGCCTACTTTGCTTAGGGTCTTGGTAGAATTGTAACACAATGATGAACCATAGAAATCACAGGGGCTCTATCAACAATGTAGCAGGTTCGGTGGCTTCTGGTAGGTTCCGGTAGCGTAGAGGTAGTTTAGCCCTAAACCCTAAACCCTGCCATAGCTCAAGGTGGGCTATGGCAGTTTAGAGGTAGTCTAGCCCTTTGAACCCTAAGCCTTCTGTGGTTTATGGCCTCGAAAGCTTAAGGGTACTGGTAGTTTATTGTAGTTTCAGGGTCGTTCTTCTCGTTGAGGTGAGTCTGACGGCCCTGGGTGGTCTTTGGACGCGCCCGTCAAGCTGGACGAGGACATAATCTTCAGGGAGTTCGTGGCAGGGAAAGTCGGAAAGCAGATTATGAGACCGGAGGGAATCCCTTACTGAAGCTGTCATCCCGGCCTTGATCCGTAGGCCCTAAACTATACCCAGGCACCTTGAGCCTTGACCCTTGAAATCTAAACCCTGGCCTTGAACTTTATGCCCTCCGTAGCATCGTGCAGGAGGTCTGGAAGTTAGAATGGCAGCCTATGGGAAGCCAGCTGATCGTTACATGCGGCGAGAAGGACCCTGCATTCCGTTCCTCCCTGCACGAGTGTAAATTTGTAGGTATGTCTGTATGCAAGCAGTTATGTACGCACCGACGTAGGTAGGCATGCATGCATGCATGCATGCATGCATTTAAAGCCTCGGCCAGCATGCGGCTGAGGTTGACCCTGAACCCTAAACCCCAGACCGATGCACCCCAAGTTCAAGCTCCACGGCATGGGGACGTACAGTCGATCGGGGGTTTGGGGGGTAGTATTCAAGGTACAGGGCTTCGCAAGGAGATCCAGGATTCAGGGTTGAAGAGTAGGACTTAGAGTACGGGGCTTGGGGGCTGGCAGAGCCACGGTCTTAGGTTAGGGTTTTGGGTTTACAGGTTTTCTAGGGTTGTAGTTGGATAATACTGTAAGGCACGAAAGAGAGGGCAGGGAGTTTCAGAGCGCAGTTATCGTGACTGCCAGGAGTATCGCAGCTTGCTCTTAAAGCAGCAGCTGTGCGGCAAGTGGGATGTCATTGTGGTGGCCCCGGTTTTCCTTCCAGTGTCGATGGACTTTGAATGAATCTTGAACCGGTGCAGTAATTTGTACATCCCTATAAAGCAAACCAAACGCTCAAGCCCAGGACGTCAGCGGAACGACGGCGTGATGAGCGTGCTCAAAAGAAAACATGCACGATCTGCAGTTTCGGGTTTGGGGCTTAGGGATTAGGATTCAGGGTTTAGGGCGCAGGGATTAGGTTTTAGGGTTTATAGGGCTTAGGATACTCCACCATGCTCTGAGATGTAGCGAGTAGTCAGGTTGCTCTTCGGAAGACCAGCAGTCAACGATAAGCTGTCATGTTTCGTCTACAGTCTACGTGCGAATATATTGCAGTGACCGCTTCACCTGTGTATTCACCTTCCCCCAACATGACAGCCACGGTGGATCGGACAGTTTGGGAAGCGCACGGACGAGATGTCTGTGTCTTCTGATGCCAGGTTGGTTCGATAAGTCTCATGGCTCAGCGTGGCGACTTCGCGGTTCCAAGCAAACTGGTCGCAAAGCCCTTGACCACTTCACACGGAGCCCTCCGCGGCACAATAGCTTCTTCTCAGTTAAACTGGCTGGTTTGAGCGGTGTTGCATGGTGTTGCTGCGTCCGGTCTCACGGTCGGCACATGCGGCGCTTCAAGGCATATTCATTCGAAGAACATTCACGCCTCTACGATGGAGATGCTAGTTTCAGCAGGTATAGCTACTGCAAGGCCACGGACTCGCACAATACAAGAGCGCATGAGCAGACCT